CTTCTTCCTAGTAGTAAGGCCAGGATCTACTAGTAGCGTCCTTGCTCGTAGTAGAAATGCACTGATTGATGCTTTTGCCTACTCCCAAACCTTGGACGGAGCTCGCCAGTGTTTCGTCGACCGCATCTGCCAAATGGAAATGCAAAGCTGAGGATTTCACTCTCAGTTGACTTTGACATACCAAAACTCATCCGCGCTAATGAGGACTACACCTAGTGAGACTCGTTTCACATGGTATGACTATCCTGCTCGGCTATTCGATTTTTTTCGAGTCACCCACTCAGGCGCTTTCGATCTGCTGCTCACGGGTTGAGCTCGTGTTTAAGCATCTCTTGAAGGCCACACAAAAGGAATGCAGAAAGTAAGTTATGGTAGATTCGTTATCTTGATTGTTCTTTAAAGGCCCGGGCCCTCTTTGGATCTTTTCCATAATATGTGTTTCAGCCCCTAGATGTGTTCAACCAACTCCCAGCCAATATTCCAGGAATAGTTTGTGCCCGCACTGCTGAATGCACTTTAGAATGATACAGCCTTCAAGCAGCCCAGAACAGGTGTGAAAACCGCAAGTGCTTGCGCACTGTACAAGATGTCTTGCTCGGCGCAAGTGCGCTTCAAAGGCCCCGCGTCGTATGCAAAAGGTGCAAGTTGCTGCAGGATGCAGGATCGGCAGCAAAACAGCCAAAGTTTTGCCCAAATGAACGCTTTTTTGAAGCCCGCAGGTGGGGGGGGGGTTCGGCCGAGAAAAGGTAGTAGCTAGGTTGCTAGTAGAAGCAAACCGTAGCTAGTAGCCAGTAGCTACTACCTAGGACGCAGTATAGCTCACGCTATTCATTTGGTTCCTTGTTTTTGTAGGGAAACTTAAGTAAGCTCCTAGCCACTAGCTACTTAAGCTTCTAGTGCTGGACGCTGCATAGCTCACCCTTCTTCAAGGAAGCGCTCGCACTGATGATTTGGTTCCTAGGATGTTTGGAAAGCTTAACCAATGAGCCGTTCTTGCTCTGACTGGCATCAGTGGTCCTGATCCTTGCTTTCACGCAAAACCTACCCTTGTAGGCAGCGGCTCCAATTCATCAAAGATCCATCACTACAGGATATTCTCTGACAGGCTGGACTTTACAAAAGAAAGTCGTTGAGGCAATGTGATGCTTGAAAAGCAATTCACATTCCTGGCTACAGGTACGAGCTGCCAAGGCACAAAGTGGCCAGGTATTTGGAAATTTGGCAGCCAGACCACATGTCGACGAAATCCATGAGACATATTTAGAGATTTTGAAATTTAGAAGCTCAGCACAGCACTATCCTTCAATCAATATATAAAGGTTCTGCATTTGATAATGAAGCCGCATGTGAGCTGCTGACCAACACACCAAGTGGATGGAAGCACGCCTCAAAATTATATAGACCAGAGCCTATGCGTACCACAGTCAAATGCAACTTTACCCTAAGATAGATGGAAAATTACAAATGCAATACCGCAGCACTGGATGAAAAGGACCTCTGTGAAATTCCAATAATACTGTCCTTTGGATGTTCAGATCAACTCGCATGTCACACCGAAGTCGTCGGCAGCCAAGAAAACTGCATTCAAATTCTGCACATTCAAAACACGTCATTTGCTCAGGACAAGCGAACGCCTTGCCTGGCAGCACACAGCGGTTGGGCTACTCACAAAATACAAGCACTACTAGTTGAATCAAGAACGAAGCTTTCTTGCTTCAGCTTCAAGGGCTGCAACTCCGATGTCGACTTCTTCTGCATGGGTTACAGTCAACAAATGTCGACAGTCCTCCAAAAACGCTCTTTGACAGCCTAGCTTACTGCAAAAACCTCTTATTGTTGGACCAGGAGATGGCGTTCAAGAGGGCGATGCCGGCGATGCCCACATTTGTTGGAGAGGCTCAAGCAATGCTAAGGTTTAAACCATGGTCTAACATGGTTTCACATCCTTTGGACACTGTTCTTTTGTTTACGGGGCGGGCTGAAAAGCGTCCGCAAGTCGTGGGCAGCTGCTTGTCACAAAAACTCCTCTGTATACAGAGTGTCTTTATGAGGCATCGACTGCTCCCGGCACTTGCACACAATTTGCAGGTGCTCCTTCTGGAGCCATGTGTGCGTTTGTAAAACTGCATGGTGTCATGGCCTGTTGTGCACTTAGTGTTGCTGCAAATGGAGACAGGTGTGACCAAGGCTCCATGTAGTTTGACAAGATTGTCAAAGCCCTTTCCAAAACAAATGTGTTTTTCTGTTCTCTTGAATACGTTTGCTTTTCTGTTTGAGAGGTAGATGTGTCCGAAGCTAGTGGAAAGAAGCAGCTAGCACGAGTAGATGCTGAACCCCAAGGATGCAAAGAAGCTCTTGTTGAAGGAAGCTTCTTGTGCCGGTTCATTACGGCCAGTCTGATAGCAAGATAGATAAAGTTAGATACAAAAACGAGCGCAGTGAATCCCGACATGATGAACAATCCTGACCATGCTTGAGGCCTGAAGCCTGGCCTGGTCCCAAGAGCCTTTTTGACAAACAGCTGCGAAACTAGGTTTTCTGCCTGTGGAGCTCTTGTTGCACATCAGAAATGTCGACATCCTTCCTTGGCAATATGGAAAAAGGAAACTTTCCTGCAATCCAAAAACTGCCAGAACCAAATGGGTTGGAGGCCATCGCTATTATATAATGAGTCGCAGCTTGCAACCACCCCCTGGGCCTCCGGACACCCGCGTGCAGTGTCTGAGAGACACCGCAGCTGCGACGCCTGCCCCCTGGCCTGTCACAGTGCATGCCTCGGCAGAAGAAATTGACCTTTGGTCTTGTACGAATTAATAAGTCCCAAATGCAGCAAACACAATTTCAACACAGCCAGACAAGAAAGCACTGATCTGAGCAAAGAAACAGCTAATCTGCATTGTGGACATGCTTTTTCATGTGTTCTCAACTTTGTGGTTGCAATAAACCAATCTCTTGAGCAGTTGCATCCAAAGTCAGCCAAAATTCATGACGGCGAGAATAAAGTTCAGACAAAGCACCATCATGTTTCGCATAGCGGCATGGGAGACGCGGTCGCCTGCCACAGCCTCACTCATGTCATGTTTTTTGTGTTTTGTTTTTCGCTTTACGGGCAGTGCCCATCAAATCACTCAATTACCCCCACGCTCGATAGAAAAAGACACACAGGGAAAAGGAAGGAAACTTGAGCAACAATCTAAAACAAGGCACAGGAGATCCTGCAAACCAAGTTGCGCGGCCGGCCACGAGCAGGTTGTCGGCGCCGCTGCTTGGCAGCATGCAACCATAAGGAACCTCTCTAATCTTTAGTGTGGGGCCCACACATTCCCTAAAAAGGGGTGTTTGTCGTTTGTGAACCTTGCAATTGATGTGCATTGAATTATAGTGTTGTTGCCTTGCCATGTCAAGCAAATACTGACGTAACGTCACCTTGTAAGCAGATGATTTTGGCTCAAATTCCCCACATGTCTGCAACTCCGCAAAGCGAGCTTCCAAAACTGCAAACACAAGAAAAAGGCACACTGTATGTAACATCTGTGTATGTGTGACAATCCTGGACTCGCATCATTGCTTTTAGCAAGTGTACGTGGCATCAATAGCCTTCCGTGTGCAACGAAGCTACGGTGTGGATGAGATGTCTGGCCGGATCTTTTTGACGTAGGAGCTACTAGTAGCTTCTTGTTACTACTAGCGTCCTTGTTACTACTAATAAGGCACTTGTTACTAGTAGCGATGCACTTGTTTCTACTAGCTTCTTGTTACTAGTAGTACGGCCAGGAGCCCCTAGTAGCTTCTTGTACTTGTTTTTTAGCCGCCGGCCCGTGGCCCTGCCTCCTTAATTAAGTAAGGGAGAACTAAGCTACTAGCAATAGGAAGCTCCTAGCTAGGACGCAGCATAGCTCACGCTTCTTCAAGCTCCCCCCTCCCCTCAAGCTTCCTTGAAGAAGCGCTCGCAATAATGATTTGCTTCTTAGACTTTTAGGGAAACTTAACTTCCACTGTATCTCAGGCTGGTTTGGTTTTTACAGGTCTGCAAACGCACTCAATGTTGCAGTAACTACATCACAAAGAGTCCAATGCATCTTGGAATGCTCCAGAAAGTACCTTACGATCTTCACAAACATCGCTTACAATTCACAATTTGGCATTTTACCATTTATCGCTGCACAAAAGCAGAGGATGCAGAGCGCATTGGAGAATACACCCAACAAAGCCCTTCACTTTTGCTGGATCCGAAGCCTGATCAGCTCTGTGTATCTAGCTATATGCCAATCTTTGTGTTAAGTCTTTTTGTGGCTCTTTGCAACAATGCTCACAGTGACGTGTGTGAGTGTGTGTGAGTGTGCAGGTGTGTGTGTGTGTGTACAAGTGCACAAATAAGATCAAATAAGAACCTGTTGACCCGTTGCACTCAACTATCGCAAATTGCCCTTCGTGTTGCCTGAAAGTAACGACCAGTGGTAGGAAGGATCAGGATGTTGTAGCCTCATCAAGCGACTCACAAATGAGGCAAACTACCGCACGTAGTTCATCCATGCACATCGCGCCAGCAGTTCTGTTGCTCCTCTCCCAAGATCAAGTTTGGGGAATGCATTTGCCTTTGGCCACCACAGCCACTCAGCTTCAGGATTTGAAAATGGAGCCGGGCCACCGTCAATGAATTCTGGGAAAATGCCAACAGCGTCTTCAAAGCGCGCCTGGTTGCAAACATCCTCACCTCGGCCATCAACTGGCCATTGATACCATGAACTGCCATTGACATCATTTGTTGAACATACCATGTTATCGAGTGTGTTATCCAAACTTCGCAGTTCTGCTTTAGCTCTAGGCACCGGTCAGGTTGTACTTGCCGATGATCTTCCGAGAGTCACGCGTCCCAACGGTCATTGCAAAATTGCGGAGTTTGGCATTCCTTAGGCAAACAGAGACGCCTTCACTGCAAGAACGTCTATGGAAACACGGCAAAAAGAAGCTCCCGTAAGAGCCTTTCTGAAACTGCACTTAGGTGTATAAAAGGTCAAAGAACTTCCGTTATTTAATGAGGATGTGCGACCGTCGGTGGAGATTGATGATGGCAATATTCTTTCTTGCACTGTCCACTGGGTCCGTCCGCAGCACTAAGCTGTTGGGCTCAATAGCTACATCAGGGACATCTGATATGCTTTTCTTTGCTATGCAAATTTTGTGGAGCAAACATGGCTGCTTCAGCAGGGATCAGGTTGCGAACTCTTAACTTGAGAAGCGATGCCATTTGGATATTGCAGCTTCAACTGTTGTGGCACACTCAAGAAGTCGGCTGATAATGCTTAACATGAGTGAATCAGGACCAAAAGGAGTTTGATTTGGAGTGAGAGCCATCAGGTGCAACTTGGACTCTCACCATGCACGTTGGCCTCCTGCTTTGGTTGGTTGTCGACACTAACGGAACAATTCCTGTACAAAGAAGACAACCTCCAAGCACAGAATCTTGACCAGGACCAAACCGGTGTGCACATACATGCAAAATGTGTATGTAACATATACTGAAAAATAATATAACCCGTGACTGTGAATCACTGGTACAGAAACGCTTTGCGTCAATCGTGGGCAGTTGCCTGTGTCTATGGAACGGAGCATTACGGAGTTTTTTGAAGCGGCTGCCACCTTTTTTCTCAAGCTTGGAGAAGAACACTCCTATGCCTGGCCGGCTCATGCAATTTTGAGTGCTTGGGAAGAGTTGTGGTCTAGATTTGGAGAAGAGCTCCGTGAATTGGATCGACAGTTGAGGAGGTCCATGAAAGAGGAGGCTCCCTCCTTTGAAAGAATGCGTTTCTTTGCCACCGCCCCAGGTGCTGACGGGGAGCCCTGGCTACGGCTACCCAGGACCTTTTTCTTGGAAGATGCAAATGAGTATTTTCAAATATAACATAATTAATATAGTATAATACAATACAGTACAATACAATACAATACAATATACAATACAATATAATATAATATAATATAACATAATATAATATAGTAAAATATAGTAGAATATAATCATATAATAAAATATATAGTATATATAATAAACTATGATATGATATTATACATATGTGATTATACATAATACATATGTGATTATATATATATATATAAACTCACACCCATTGTTTTTCACCCGCGCATGCAGTAATGTGTCAAGAAGTAGTTAAAAAGGTCAACATATATAAAGCGAGAAAGACCCTCTTTCTTCAAGTGCTTCCCCCGCGCGAGGCACAGCAAACACCTTTCCTGCCAGACCAAGGAAAGATGTTTGCCCCTCCTACCCCCCAGGCATCCTGCCAATCCAGGACCCCTGGGCCCAGGTAGTAGTTCTGTGGTCTTTCTCTGCGACATCGAAAAAACGAATTCCCTCCTCACACACATTTGCCCCTACTCCACGTCCCCCTCAAATGCTTTAGCACGCTCAAGCGTCCGAGCTAGGTTTGCAAGGTCATGCTGGTGAAACGTCCTTAAAAAGGGAAGGATGGACTTCTTGGGAACCTTTAAAGTGGCTAAAAGGGCAAGACCTTCATTGATGTACAGGCGGGCAGCGCGCACTGCCGCCCACCTGCCAAGCGCAATGATCCTATCGAGAGATGCGTGGCGCCCGAACCAAAACGTGGCGCCGCCCCTACGCAGGCTGTAGGGGCGGAACTCGAACTCCTCAAGGTTCAAAGCCTTGATGCATTCACCGAAAGTCCGCCTCCATTGGTGAGGCTTGGGGGTTAACGGGCTGTGTGCAGGAGAGGTGTGCTTCCATGCCCACAACCATTGGAGAGCACACGTGACAGAAATTGTGACACTTTCTGACGCTCCGGCACGCTTGCCAGACTTGGTTAAACCTAATGAAATCACTGCAGTTTTGTCGGGAGATGTCATCAGGATATGGTGGTTACACAATCCGAGAATCTCCCCCGCGCGCAGCAATCCATAGAAACCCAGCAAGAGGCTCAGTCCAAATGCATACTGCTGATGGAAAAGGCACCATCCCAACATAGCAAAAAGGCATTCCTCCGGGAGAGGTGGAGCGCAACTTGGCACCTCGTTGATGCGCCAAGTCTTCAAAAGCCTCCAAGTCACTTGTAATTTCCCCTTCAACCGACGTTCCGTGTCCTGAAATGCAGCGACCGTATCACTTGCCAGCGCTCTTCCCTCTCCCACGCTCCACAAGTGTTCCACGTAGTCGGCCAACATGTCGTCAAAGGCAGTGAAGTTGGACGGTATGCTCAACCCATTTGCCCTGGCGTAGTCATAGAACTTGGTCTTTGCTTGACTGTATCTTTTCCTGGTTTGTGTACTGTGAGTTCACGCAATGTCCCTAAAGCTTGTCGACTCTTCGCTCTCGTCTCCTTGCTGTGACCTTCTAAGTGCTGTTTCACCTTCCCCATTTCCTCTGGAGGGGCCGCCGACTAGGGCGGTCTGCTGGGTTCTGGGAAGTGTGGATATACCCCCACACGGGGTGTAGGTCCGCAGCAAGGATAAGAGAGTTGACACGCTTCAACACATGTCTCAACTTTCGGGATGATGTACGTCCCCGCGACAAGCTATGCAAGCAAACCAGGCTGTCCGTCAAGTGCAGAAAACGACGGCGATGCCCACCTCGACGGACCACCAACCAACGCGGCGTGGTAAGAATGGCGCGGAGCTCCAGGACGTTAATGCGCTCTCCTGTATGGCGCCACTGCCAGCCGGTGACTTCTTTCCAACGCCAAAGTTTTGCGGGCACACTGGAGCGGAGCCGATGGAACTTGACCTGAGGCTCACTAGCTGCTGTTACCATCAGGTCTTCTCCTTTCATGGAGACTAACCCAACAGTTTCAAGAGCAGCGGTTTCTCCAAGGTGGCCACCAGACGCTTGGTCGACAGCAATGGGGGTCTCAAGAGCATGCCCTGCAACGTCGTACTGCCCCCCGGGGTCAAATAGTCAACTATCTGCTGCAAGGATCGTCGGCGACAAAAGCCCCAAGGGCCCAACACTTGCTCCAAGAGCCAAGCGACGACTCCCACATGCCAGGAGTTTCCAATCAAGCTCAACCGAGTATCCTCCCACTTGGCCCCCGTCTGCTCCGCTTTCGGGAGACAAGGTCTAGTGTAACCAACTGGTATGCACATGATAGCCTCCCTTTCTCGAACGTTTGGTCGACGAGCCGCACCTTTTCGGGTCCAAAGTAGGTTGTGGTCGCGGTATTGATATGGTGGAAACCTATACTGGTCTTCTTCCCAACGCTTGCGTTCGTGAGCAGCACAGCGATCAAGTCCTGCCGTCCAGTAGCCAGGCTGATCCCGAGGCCTGGATGTGGTGAACGTATTCAAGCGAAAACCCTCAGTAACTGACCAACCCTGCTCCAAGAAGGCCTCCTCCTTGACGCTGGCGCTCAACTCGACCGTGCCGCAACCCCGCCATTCATTGCCTTGCTCGGGAGTGGAAATGGTGACTCCCTCCCCTTGGCAGAGATCCCAATCCATCCAGTATAGACGAGGGCGATGACAAAGGCTAATCCCCGCTGAGTCAATTCGGAAGGGCTGTGACATGGAGGCTACAGACTCCATCAACAACCTCACCTGAGCCCATGCAAAGGCCAGACGAAACAAGTCCCGTATGCGAGGAACCTCCTGATAAAGACAGCTCCGTTCGTCACGAAGTGCCCCCTTCTTTGAGGCATTGAGTCCGCTAACACCTTGACACGGGGGACCTGCCCCCAGCAGCACAAGGGAGACTGAAGGGAAACGTAGTGCCAGACTTCTGACCAGCTCCTCGTCCACTGTCCTGACATCATCATGGAAAATGGGGTCAGGGAAGAAAACCTCTACCACAAGCCTTCCTGTACCCTCTTTCTCTACGCTCAGATGCCCCGCAAAGGCCACTCCTAGGCTATCGGCCGCCAACCGCAGGGCCCCCAATCCATCAAAGAGCAACGTATCTCCCTCTGTCGGGAGGTCACCCCTGCTCTCCAAGTTCAGGGTGGCCAATCCATAGCTGGTCAGCCCTTCACTGACGCACACGCCTCCTCAGGTAGTGGATGCATCGCTGCAAGTCACATGTTCCACAAAAGGGCATCGAAAGTCAATCTGCGCTAGTGGAGTGACCTGGATAAAAGTGAGCAGTTCACCTTGGACCTCCTTTGGCACCGGGAGTCTCACCATGGGTGGAAGCTTCTTCAACTTCTCCATGAACCTCCACACCTCATTCAAAGTGGCCAACAACGGTCTCCAGAAGAGCGCAAAGTAAACGAAGCCCCCACAAACGACTTGCAGCTCCTTCAACGTGCACGCACCCTGTCTCACCAACATCAGCGCTAGCTGGCAATACAAGACGACCTTGCTCGGCTTGGGTTGGGCGAAGCTCCAATCCATCCACGAAGGTGTTGCACCACTTCCGCAACACGAGGGCTTGAGCCGTCTGGCGATCGAGCCGTTCCACCGAATCAAAATTATCAAGGTAGACCCGGTATTGCGCCCGTGCACGACTGCTCACGCTGTCTTTCCGCATTTCACACTCTCCCCCAAGACCTGGGAGTGCGCTGGCTCCACGTGACTATGTTCCTATGTACGCGCTGCGCAATTGACACACTATCAACAAAGCCCATAGGTAACACGCACGCGGTGAGCACGCAAGGGCGATCTCTCCACTCCTCTGGGACCAGCGACTCCGGTACACGCTTGTTGAACCCCAAAAACCTTTTCCACGCAAGCGGCACCTTGAACAAATAAAAGAAACAGCGCACATCTTCTGAACTTATCAAAGCCACTTCTCCTTCATCCAACAGGAAAGTACCGAAGCTGCTGATATTCGGGAGAGTCATCACGTCTCCCACGAGGGACTCACACAACTGATTAAGCGCTATTAGATTCATAATTAGTCTTTGGGTCTCGACTTCGCCCACGAATTCGCCCTTGCCCACGCCG